AGGGGGGTTGTCGGTGGAAACCGCCTGAGACCAGACATCCCTGCTGCCATCTCGGGCCCGCGAGGGTCCCACTGCAGGGCGGTGGCGGGCTTCCCCAGGGCAGCGCCGGTGGCTGCTAAGGAGAGAGCGCCGTGTGCCGCGTAGGCCTGTTTGTCTCGCCCTGGGGAGTTTGTCTCCCGTTGCACTGAAGTTGGTTTTACGTTCAGGTCTCCCAGCGCCAGGCATGGTGCTCGAGCCTGGAGGTTTTTATAACGGGCACTGTTGCTGCTACCCACGGGTTGAAGGTAAAATGGTGAGAAGGGCCATGTGTGATGACCTGCTCCTTCCTGCCCAGCTGTGTCAGGCCTGCTGGGAGAAGATGTGACAGGGCAAGCACCCCAGGGATGCTGTTGACATGCTGAGCCAGCCCAGCCCGCAGCAACGCACACACACACAGGAGCACTCGGGCAAGGACAGGTTCAGGTATGTACACAAGCTGTACCTAACAGAGGCACTGGCATTTGAATTAAAATTTTGGATCTTTTTGTCCCTTTAGGGGCTTTGGCCTGCACAATGATTAGTACCAAACTTTGATTATCAAAAACAAACTCACAATCAAAACAACTCACATTGGACCTTTCTCAATGTCCACTTTACAAACAAAACTGATAGTTTCATACTGTATTTATGTACAACAATACAGCTCAGTACATGAGAGAGCGTGAGTGACTTAAGGCAAACCCCTTCTTTAAAAGCAAGAACTAGAGTAGAATTTGGACCCTTCTCTCCATCTGGAAAACAGCTATACTGTTTCTCTTCCATGTTTGAGACTCCATTGTAACAGCAGGTACAATATTAGAATACTTAATCCAATGATTCCTTGATACGCTTCCACATGGAGCCTACTAAATCACAATGAAAAAGCTTTCCTTGTGTCCTCGAACTTTGAGGAAGTCACATAACCATAGAGCACTTTAAAGCAAGGCATCCATTCTCTGCTTCTAAAACTGATGTCCGAGTTATGGTCTACAAAATACAGGACCTTAGATAAAAAATACTAATCAGTATCGTCCCTGCCTAAAACAGGACAGGAATAGAACAAAGGGAAAAGGCTCAGATAAAATTACAAAACATTTCGGTTTTATTAAGAATAACTTACATACAAATAAATTATCTTTAAAAATACTATAACACATTTTTATATTAAGTTTAAATTAAGTCTTAGAAGTCACATTGGCCTTTCCTGCAATCAGCAATCTGATTCTGTTCTTGAGTCTTGTTCCAGTTCATCTTCATCATCTTCGCTATCCGAGTCGTCATAAAAGGAAATTGTAGCTTGAACTGGAAAGTTTTTCAGAAGTGCTTCAGCTTCCTGATATAAGTAATCATAGCACCTTGATTTGGGCCAAAATAGTCTGAAACAAGTATACAATAGGTTTGCTTATTGTTATTACATGTTCTACTTGGAGGCTGACAAACAAGAAACAGCAGTGAAATTCTGTCAAGACAAGCATCCTACAGAGTTTTTCCTCACATCCTCAATTGCTAAACTGCTTTCTACATTTAAATAGAACAAAAAATTCTCTGGATTCTGTATTTTTGTCTGAAGAGATAAAGATGCACTTAAAGTGCTAGTTTTGCAGCAAAACTACTCTACAGCCCAAGATCCACCGCATCTGAAACTTACTACGCCAGTACCTCATTAACAGTATTATGTGGGGATCTGATCCAAGTAATACTGCCCTCACTGGAACTATTCCTAGGGAATATAATGGGTGTCAAACAGGATCCCCAACACATTTGGATTAAATTAGTAGTTTTGTTACTGAAGGTCCCCAACCGAGGTAGTTGTTTACAATGGCGCGAGACAAATCTCAAAGTGAAAGGAATGATAGAGGTCAAGGGGATCAGACCTTGATATTTCACCCCTGTCTTTCCAAGAAGAATCATCTAACAGACTCCTTACGGAAGATGCCCCATGGGTCTAGATTTTAAAGTAGTCTGTGTTGTGTCCAGAAATGAAACATAAAAATTGCTGATGATATCATGGTTAGCAAGGGCTATCAGCTAGTGAGATAATAAATTGCAATTAATATACTGCACAGTTCCTGTTCCTTTTCAACTAGCATCCTCTTTCGCTTACAGTTTGGAAGTAGCTGGAAGAAACAGACAATAGAAGTCCCAAGAGCTAAGAGACTAGCACACTGCAACATAATTAAATGCCGTCTACAGATTGTTTATAATAGAAATACATTAAGAAACAGAACTAGATGGGTTTCTAGCAATTACAAAGAGTGCTTTCTAGGCTACTGTTTGACAGAACGCTGCTTCCTTTGCAGCACAAAGTAACTGACGCTTGCTTTGTAACATCTCTCCATTCCCAGTGTTCCCTGCAGCATTCACTCATACCTAACCACCGGAGCAGTCACAGTGAAGTCAGGGTCCATGCAATCGCTTAGATAGTCTGTGCATCAGTACTTGAAGGATCAGAGCCTAGATTTGGGAGAAAGCTGCATCTTGTCTGGAAGAACTACCTGTGCAATTACTTTAAGCACCTTGCAACACCTATTAGTACTTCTGAATACAGACTCCTGCAGATTCAACTGTAGTTATTTTATTTCCTTTTCAGAACTGACAGTGCAGATACTATCCTTAACCTTCATCATTAAAGCAGTAGTTACATGAGTATTTTTCTCAGCAGTGCTGGCTTAGTCCATACCCTCTCCTTCTGCCACTCTTTCCCATGCCTGCACCTGCTTCCTTGCACCAGGAGGACACTGGAGGTTTACACAGCAAGACAGACTAGAAACTACCACCCCTCCCTTTTTTTGATCCTGGGCACAGGAACGAGTAGCAAGGGGCTTCAGCCAAATCTGCCACCACAGAAAGAAGCCACATAACTGTGGAACATGTCTAAGTCCCACACCACAGAAGCACATCAACATCTCATCTTAAAGATCTGGTAAATCCACAAGTGCTGGCCATCATTTGCCCAGGGACCTGTCAGTTCAAAAGCACTTAGGTGGCAAAATCACACCGAAGGCACTTTAATATCTTACATAAATATATGGGTGGGATCAAAAGGGGTGAGGGAGCCAGTGCTTGGCCAGCCCGGCACTACACTGCCGAGCAAGGGGCTCTTCCCTCCTGGCCGCGCAGCACCACGGACTCCGGCAGCGAGGGGACCGGGTGCCCGCAGCTCCCCCACGGGAACCGGCGGCA